TTGCATAATTTAAATAAGAGAGACTAGCTAAATTTTTTTTTAAATGGTGGAGCCAGTGTTGTGGATTAATGGGCAAAGCTGCTGCCTACAATGGTGTCATCCCATATGGGCACCAGTTCAAGTCCCAGATGCTCTACTTCCCATCCAGCTCTCTGCTAATGTGCCTGGGAAGGCAGCAGAAGATGGCCCAAGCACTTGGGCCCCTGCCACCCGTATGGGAGACCCAGATGGAGTTCCAGGCTCCTGGATTCCACCTGACCAGACCTGCCATTGTGGCCATTTGCAGAGTGAACGAACATATGGAACATCTCTCTCTGTCTCTCCATGACGCTGCCTTTCAAATAAGCAAAATAAATATATTTTTAAATTGAGCCACAGCTTTAGCATTATCGTCATTAATTATAATAGCACATGCATATGCTATTCTATTTGGTATATTTCCCTAAACTTACATAAATGTATTGATTACATTAGCTGATGTTATATCTACTAAATGTGTAAGATCATAAAAATACATAAATTTGTTTTTAGTAAAATTAAGTCATTTAGATCTCAAACTTTATTTCAATAGTAATTATGTTTTTAACTGACCAACTCAAAAATAATTTCCAAGACTTTCTGCTAATTTAAAATCTTAGACTTATGCTAGATAATTGATGAATATTCTCTGATGAATATCTAGTATCTAAATTATCTCTAAAAACAGTGAAAACAATAAAGCATGGTTTTAATTTATATAGCATCTTGTCTCTTATTTTTATGTCATTTGTGTCTTTTATTTTTATGTCAAGTGTTTTCTATATACTTAATTATGTTAATAAACACGTTCCTTTTGCCACATGTTCTTTTTTGCCACATTAAAAAGATATATGACAAAGAAGCATAAGGCTATAAAAACATAAAATGTGTATTTATAGGTTGTGTTAATCTACTACACAATTCTGATACATGACTGTTTATCTACCTCAGAATTTTCTCTATAAAGTAAAAAATAACGCAATGAATATTTATATATATACTCTCCTAGGAAAAATAATGAAACAAGACAACTCTTTATGCAAGATACACAGGGTATTTTTTTCTGTTTTATAACAAATTGAATGATTGTTCCAAAAACAAGAAGAACAAAAACCTAAGCCAATAAAAAATTATAAAAGATTAAACCAAAAACATTGTTTGTTATGGTAGATATAGGCCACTATTTAAAGGATTTATTTATAAGAATTTAAAAAATAGAATCAACTATTATACTGGTACACAATTAGAATTTGACCAAATTTTCTTGGATTTCTGGTCTGCTATTAGTAGGATATTTTAATGTTAGTTTTTCTTCAAATTGGGTAATACACTTGAAAGGCAAACATTTTGTGTCTTATCACAATATTTTCATGTGCTTCAAGTTCACTTTGTCATGTCCTTATCTTCTTCACATCATTAATTATTTGAAAACAAACAAACAAAACAAAATCAGATCACTGTCACATTAAACAAAAAAACAACTATGGGTTATATTTTAAAAAAGACAACTAAACATAACTAATAAGCCGGCGCTGCGGCTCACTAGGCTAATCCTCCACCTAGCAGCGCCGGCACACCGGGTTCTAGTCCTGGTCAGGGCGCCGGATTCTGTCCCGGTTGCCCCTCTTCCAGCCCAGCTCTCTGCTGTGGCCCGGGAGTGCAGTGGAGGATGGCCCAAGTGCTTGGGCCCTGCACCCCATGGGAGACCAGGAGAAGCACCTGGCTCCTGCCATCGGATCAGCGCGGTGCCCCGGCCGCAGCACGCCAGCCGTGGCGGCCATTGGAGGGTGAACCAACGGTAAAGGAAGATCTTTCTCTCTGTCTCTCTCTCTCACTATCCACTCTGCCTAAAAACAAAACAAAACAAAACAAAACAAAAAACAAACAAACAAAAAAAACCAAACAAAAAAACAAACAAAAAAAAACTAATAAAGACTGCAGTAAATGTTAGCAAAGATATTAGACAAATGTGAAAAAATGAAATACATTCATTGTAGTATTATGATCAGATGAGGTGAAATCTGATCTGGAAAGCAGTATATACGATAAGAGTTTACCAAAATATACAAAATAAGTGATAAGAAGCACAATTTATTGATGTAACAGAAATACATCCATATGTTCTTTAAAACTGAAGAAAGAACACATAAACTGCCAAAAGTGCTTGCAGGATCTGTTTAAATATAATTATAATGGAAACCATCAATATACCTTTCTCAGGATTGAGCACATAAGTAGACATCACTTATGTTGTGCTTTGTTCTGTTTGCTATATCAAAGGTTTCTGACATATAATTCATATTCAAATTCAATACCAATTAAATAAATGCAAATTAAATTAAGGATGAAATATGATAGCACAGTCACCAGAGTGGAAAGGTTAAAAAGAATAGCAATAGTTTTTGTTAGTGGAGATGCAGGTAGAAATTAACTATCATGCCTGCTGTCAGAAACTTTAATTCCATGATATTTTAAGTTTTATTTCTTCTTCACTTATTTGAAAGGCAGAGAGAGAAAGAGGGAGAGGGAGGGTAGGGGAGAGAGAAAGAGAGAGAGAGAGACTCTTCCATCCACTGGTTTACTCCCCAAATGCACATGCCACAACAGCCAGGGCTGGGCCAGGCTGAAGCCAGGAACCAGGAACTCCATCCAGGTCTCCCACATGGGTGCCAGAGACTCCGGTAATTGGGCCATCACCTGCGGCCCTCCAAGTGCATTGGCAGGAAGCTGATCAGAAGCAGAAGTGGGACTTGATCCCAGAAACTCCAATGTGGGATGTGGATTTCCCTAGTAGCAGCGTCCTAAGCTATTTACAATGCAGTTTGGGAATGAATTATCATTTGTAATCTGAGATGCATGCACATTTGACCTATTACCCTAACTGCTTAGACTCTTTCTCACAGAAATAAAGAAATATAACCTGGCCGGCGCCGCGGCTCACTAGGCTAATCCTCCGCCTTGCGGCGCCGGCACACCGGGTTCTAGTCCTGGTCGGGGCGCCGGATTCTGTCCCGGTTGCCCCTCTTCCAGGCCAGCTCTCTGCTGTGGCCAGGGAGTGCAGTGGAGGATGGCCCAAGTACTTGGGCCCTGCACCCCATGGGAGACCAGGATAGGTGCCTGGCTCCTGCCACCGGATCAGCGCGGTGCGCCGGCCGCAGAGCGCCGGCCGTGGTGGCCATTGGAGGGTGAACCAATGGCAAAGGAAGACCTTTCTCTCTCTCTCTCACTGTCCACTCTGTCAAAAAAAAATTAAAAAAAAAAAAAAAGAAATATAACCTGACTGCAGTATTATCACGGGGAAAACAATGACACAACAAATAATCATTTCTGGGAGAAAACTCTTGATTTAATTATAGGATAGCCACACAATGTATATTAGATGGTTTTTGCATTGTGTGTCCACTTATTCCATTCATTTTTATATTGTGAACATTGCGTCAAATTCTATGCTAGGCTCTGGCAATTGAGTAGTGGATAAGAACACTATCTTTACAGTCTCCAGCAGATTATAGGGTGAGAAGGATGATTAAAATGCACATGTAGATTACCACTGTGCTGGATAGTAATTAATGCTATGAAGGAAAGACAGAAAAGATAAGGGCAGGGTGGTATTGGAGGACTGGTTCACAAATTAACTATGATAGAGTCAAAGAAAGAGTCGCCCAGTGCCGTGCACATCTGAGCAGTGTGGGGAATTAAAATTTCACCCCTCTGCTCACTGGAGGCTAATTTCTGGGCATTTACTTCTAGCTGGTCTCTGACTCCTTCAATCATGACAATAATCCTGTGGTTCACTTTTTTCTCTCCTGTCCCAAGATACCCAACGCCAGAGGAACTGCTTCTGATTGATTCCCTTTCCAAAGAGTCTCAAGATGTTTCCTCAAAGAGCTAGATAGTTCCCTCTACAAATCTGGAAGGGATCATTAGTCTGAACTCCAGGCCAAAGGAGAAATTTGATAGCAATAAAAATATTCAACTATGGTATCGGCAGAAGTGAAGACGTGGGCTTCTTTCTTTAGACCAGGATGTAAGATCTTTTACACACCCCAGTCATTCAGAGGTGAATCTTAACTGCTGTGATTTCTAGAACATAAGCTCAGTCTAAAAGGCATCCAAAAATGCTACAATTAACCAAAATTTACTCAATAAACCCACAGACAAAATTAAGACACTCTTCTCTAGGATAGGGAAAATAGTGTAATTTTTCAGTGAAATTCATTAGAAGGCACTTATGAGTAGTCATCACACATTCAGATTTAAGACGACGGAACCAAATTATGACCTTCCTTGCTTATGGGGACATGATTCTTCTGCTGTCACCTTCAATGTGGAAGTGCAATCTTGAACAAAATCCAGGAGTAATAACACAGTACATAATCTGCTTCCTAAAATGCCTCCATTGCTTTCGTTGAATTAAGGAATTTTTTGCAATTCCCACCTTCCATAGCTGCAAGTCTTATTCTTAAAGCATTTGATATTGGAGTCACAATCAAAATATCACCTTCAGGTGCCACTATTGTGGCATTCTGTATTTAAGTTTTTTGATTTGTTGATAACCCATCTTGTCTACCGACCCATTTCACAGAGTCAGATTTGAATCAGCAAAGCAATCTTCCAAAGGCTAAAATCTGGGAGAGTCTAGCTTTGTTCTCTAAAAATCTAGTTACCCTAAAATTCTTACTTTTACTACCTGTGTTGCTGTACTTCTTTGGTAAAACACTGAAAAATATTCTTTTTAGTCAACAGGAAGCTAAATGGCTTCTAGGGAGATGCCCCCTTTTCTACAAATCAGAGTTGTTGCCAATGTTTTATATCCTTGCAAAATATTATGGGTATGCTGGAAGTAATGATAATGTTTTGAGTTTTGCTCAGCATCTAAGGAAAGAATAAACACGGAAGGATGTTGTTTTGTTCTGAGGAATTCACTGGAAATAAAACCTCCTGTTGGAGATAAAAGCATTCATCCCAGTTAGAAATCTTACTGCTTCTCTCAGGCCGCAGTAAGGCTTTGGTCTTCTTGATTTGGCTTCCACTCTCGTGAAGGGCCTTGAACCAGTCCCGTAATCTGTTCGCCACCTCCCTGAATTCCAGGTCACTGCATGCTAGAAGCAAAGAGAAGCGACACACATGTTGAGTAATAACTCAGCACCGCGCCAATGCTGCCTCTCAAATTATTCCAATACACCAAAGGCAACAATGACTGAAAGAAGTAATAAAATGCCTAAGTGTACTGAAATGTTTTTAAAATGAACGATCAATAAGTACTTCAAACATAGTAAGACATAATGCAATGATCACATCTTATTTCAAAGAGGAATATGATTAAAAGAATTTTACTTCCACTTCTTCTCTCAGGCATAAAATACGTGGTTGAGGATTATAACTGGGAATATAATACAAATTAAATCACAAAATTTATGTGATTTTTTTTTGTGATAAGAGGTTGTGGGCCATCTCTGAAAGCAAAATTGCAAAATCCAAAATGCATATTTATTGGTTAGATTTACTAAATAAACTATGATTCAGAATTTTTCATTCACATATTCAATCCATATAGAAATACTACCTTTTTACATGTGTTTAATCTAGCCTCTTAAGTTTGTTAAGTGTAGAATAATAAGAATGACATTATCTGATACCGGAAAGACTGCAAAAATGACGCTTGGAATTTAAAATATTGAAAAATGACACTTGGAGTGAAATTGACTTTGTCTGCTTTTCAAATGTATTATTTACCAATAATTATATTCTTTAAAATAGCCTACAAAATAAGCAATAACAGAATATGCGTATGAATAACAATTGCTTAAATACAGGTTTCAAATTCAGTTATTGGCTATTAAAAATATTATAAAAATATTTTAAATGTCCCCTTGTTTGCATTATTTAGATGTCATTTTTCCTGCAGGTCTCTCGTGCATGCTTCCAATGTAGCATTTCAACTGACAAGCACTCTATACTCACATTCTTCTTGTTCATTTAGTTAAAAATAATAATTTATACAAGGATACTGTATCATATTACATTATATTTAATATATGTTATACACATTATATTAACATATGCAGCATATGTAATGTAGCATAACATAATATAATGTAATGTTATACACTTCCCTACCACTAAAGCAAAAGATTAAAATGATTAAAAAGACCTTCCCCAGTGAGACAGAATAGTGAATGACCCAGATTAGCAAGTCATTGAGAACACCCAGGAGAGAAAAGATCCTGGAAACTTGTACGATGACAAGAACTGTCATATACAAAGCATATGGGGAGAATGCCTCCAATGTTTCCAATAGCAACATCAGAGGGCCACCTGGACAAGGACAAGTCACTTTATGCTTCTAATCAAGAGCGCCATGTCCAGAAACATCAGGTAGGAGAGTAAGTTAATGATTTTTACATACGTAAAATCCAAGTAACTAGCACCTATATAATCTTTACCTAGGAGGCAACTGGAAAACATGACAGTCCAGAGAGAAAAGCAAGGAAGTGGATGGTGCAGGCACAGGAGTTAGAAGACGGAGGAGAGCAAAGAAGGAAATTTCTGAGAAGATGGTAGAAGAGTTCCTAAGCTCATGTCATGTGCCAAGTGTCAAGGTAGACAGTGGTAGGCCTAAAAATTCTTGGCCAAGTCCGGAATTATAGGCTGAATTTATCACTCCTTCACCTGGGGAAACTTCGTTATAGTGAAAATAAAGGAAAGCATCACTTTTATAAAATTCACATTAGTGAGGCTGAGAGGTAAGGTAGTGAATGCTATGTCCCCAGGATGGTGCTGACAGTACATGGTATCTCCAGCCAGTACCTCTTACAGTAGCATCTTGGTAGGGGCTATATGCTCCCTATTAAAACAAACAATCAAAAAAAAAAAATCCAAAACTATGCACAAGAAAAAAAATGAAATTTTGTTTCAGTATTAGAAAGTTTTCTACAGGCCAGCATCGCGGCTCACTAGGCTAATCCTCCACCTGTGGCGCCGGCACACCGGGTTCTAGTCCCAGTTGGGGGGCTGGATTCTGTCCCGGTTGCCCCTCTTCTAGGCCAGCTCTCTGCTGTGGCCCGGGAGTGCAGTGGAGGATGGCCCAAGTGCTTGGGCCCTGCACCCCATGGGAGACCAGGAAAAGCACCTGGCTCCTGCCATCAGATCAGCGAGGTGCGCCGGCCGCAGTGTGCTGGCCGCGGCGGCCATTGGAGGGTGAACCAACGGCAAAGGAAGACCTTTCTCTCTGTCTCTCTCTCTCTCACTGCCCACTCTGCCTGTCAAAAAAATAAAAAAAATTGAAAAGAAAAAAAAGAAAGTTTTCTACAAACAAGGGGCTTCAAAAGTTTTTGGGAAATGGAGTTAAAAGGTAATGTTATATTATGCAAAGAATTTTTAAATTCATTCACATGGAGGAATTTTGAGAAGTTCAACAAAAATGAATATTATGAAAAAAACTATGCATGGATTTCAAAATTGTTTTACAACAAGCTAAACCTTCTTGAATTCTATTTTTCTATGAACTTCTGGAAGTACCCTTGCACACATGGAAGGACATGTGAAGCCAATTAAACTACTTCAGTGAGGGAACCCAGATTAACAGAGGGAAGAAAATGTAGGGGAGTTTCAGTTTTTATCATTTTTCTGTTTTTTTTATTTTGAAGCATGTGCTGTATGTATGCATTAATTTTCAAAAATAAAGATTTTCAATTTCCTTAATAATTATGAATGCATCTTTTAACTTCAGAAATTCTAACTTTTAACTTCAGAAATTCTCTTCTATGAAACTTTATCATGCAGATACCCAATACCTATCCAAAACATTTATTCAAATAGTGGAACATTATTTATTTAGTACTTTTAGGATAGAAAGTTTGTTTATACAAAATTCCCCATGATCAGTGGTCTGGCAATATTAATTAGGTACATCCAATGAAGCTCTGAGTTATTAATCAAAGTAAAAAGTTTACTGTGCCCTGAAATGGAACAATAACTAAAATAAGGGTGAAAAAATGTAAGAAGCAGAAAAGTGCGTCTATTATACTTCCATTTGTGTAAAAGGGGAAGAAAGATGCACTTGCTTATATACGCCTAAAATATCTCTGCAAATGAATAAGAGAGTGAAACATTCATCTCTGCAATGGGAATTGGGAGATGGGAAGTAAGAACATAGAAAACTTAATGTATTGAACTCTTCCACTTTTAAAAGTTAAAGCATACTTCATTATCTAGTTTAAACAAACATTTAAAAATGAATTTTATTTCTCTAATACAATCTTGTTTTTCACACACCAACCCAGCAAAGAAAAAAATTTTATCTAATAAACTACCTGCTAAAGAATGAAATAAAAAGTTGGTTGAACATGTGTTAGGAACTCTGAATCTTGTAGTAATAATGGTAACAGCAGGTAAGGATGCATACTGATTGTTAGAAGAACTTTTATCTGTGAACCCATTCAATCCTCATAAAAACTCTAAGAAGTTACACTATCACAGCTTCCATTTAAAAAAATATTAGGCCAAGACACTCTGGCAAAAGATCTCTGTGAGTGAGATCCCAGTGGAAAGAACAGGTCTTCAAAGAAGGAGGTACCTTTCTCTGAAGGGAGGAGAGAACCTCCACTTTGACTATGACCTTGTCTAAACAAGATAAGAGTCGGAGAACTCAGAGGGCTTCCATAGCCTTGGAAACTCATGACTGGAGCATAGGGAGATTACTGATGCCATAGACAGGAGTGTCAATTGGTAAAGTCAACAACAGGAGTCACTGTGCACTTACTCCTCATGTAGGATCTCTATCCTTAATGTGCTGTACATTGAGATTTAATGCTATAACGAGTACTCAAACAATATATTTCACTTTGTGTTTCTATGGGGGTGCAAACTGTTGAAATCCTTACTTAATGCATACTAAACTGATCCTCTGTAAAAAAAAAAAAAAGAAAAAAAAAAAGAAATTATCAATTCCCAACTTGACTCTCATTGGGATTAAACATGACAATAGGTCTGTTCTTATTTCATCATCATTTAAAAAAATCATCTATTATTTTTCACTTTATGTTTCTGTGTGGGAGCAAACTGTTGGAATCCATACTTAATGTATACTAAGCTGATCTTCTGTATATTAAGATAATCGAAAATGAATCATGATGTGAATGGAAGGGGAGAGGGAGTGGGAAAGGGGAGGGTTGTGGGTGGGAGGGACGGTATGGGGGGAAGCCATTGTAATCCATAAGTCGTACTTTGGAAAATTATATGCATTAAATAAAAGTTAAAAAAAAATGCAAAAAAAAAAAAAAATATTAGGAAACTGAGGCACAGATGACCAAAGAAGTTGGCTGCAGACAGACAATTGGCAGAGCCGCATTTTGAATCCAGAAAGTCAGACTTTGAAATCCAAGGTCCTAATCACTACAGCAAACCAATTCTGTGCTAAGAAAATTAACGTTGTAGTGAACAGCAGTTCAAAACCAACACGTCATGATTATAGGGGTGTGGGATTGATCATCACTGAAGAAATGTTTGATAGGAAACCACACTTTTAGAAGACAACCCCAAACCTGCAGAGTATTATTATATTGTCTGGATGTGACAGGAATCACATTTCAGGGGCGATCATTATGGCCCACGGGAACAGATCGGAGAGATGGTATTGAGCCCCAGCTATAGTATTTGTTACCACTTATTCCACAGCGGCTGACAAAGGTCTCATCCAACAGGTTAACAATAACACAGATTTCAAGTTTTTAATTTCTTTTAAGAAAGATCATGATAGTGCTATTTTTTTAAAAATTATGAGTCAATCTGTCCTTGTTACAAACAAAAGAAAGTAAATATTTAGTTTATAGAATATTGAAATACAATATTTTTGTGGCATGATGTTCATGTTTCACTGTCTACCAAATCATTTTTTGGTGCCAACAATTAACTGATTTAATTTTAGCTTTGGTAATGATTTATCTGAAATCACTGGGCAAAGCGGAGATTGTTACCAAGTCAGAAACTTCAAACCATACACTTTCTGAAAATTAAATTGCATAAATGTAAAATTTAACAAAGTTGATATATTTTATAACTATTAAATTAGCATTCATTAGTACTGATTTTCCTTTTCACT